AGAGCTCCTTAGGACCGTAGAGGTCATTTCTTGGCCACTTGTGGCCCACTCCCTATGTGTCTTAAGGCTTGAGCAGGTCTTAAGATGACTCCATTCATCACATATATTGCACTTAACCGAGGTGGAATACATGAAGCAAAAGAATTCCCCGGGGCCCGGGTTTTACTCTATGCCAGCACGGGTCAAGAGGATACGGAGCAACCCTGCTGCTAGGTGTTGCTCTAATGACGACAAACTTAAACTAACACTTACCGATCCAAACAGGGTTAGATCGCCGATATAACAGCCCTTTGCCGGTTAAAATTCGGGTCCAGTAACTAAGAACCGGCTGTTGTGGGAATTGAAAATGATCAATGCTGCCAATAATTTTCCATGGGGAAACACGCTCATCGTTTTCAGTTCCCTTGCGAAAGTGAAATATTTTGATAATGGCCGCACTGTGAACCTTCTCTATAATCTACATTATCTGCTTATAATGTTGAACTTTAACAAAACTTCGCCATTCGAACATTTTGGCTGCTATGAATTTCGCTGCCCTGTTGATTCTGGCAATTAATCGTCGGAACTATTGCGTTCTCGCATCAGTCATAATACTTATAGGTATAGTGGTAAAATTGTGTATAATAAAATTATCATGATACTAACTGAAGCTTATAGAGACGGCAAATATGGTGATGTAATCGATAATCAATCGAAAAGTTTTTATTCTACATATCGGTGCATTATAAAGGCTTAACGCTTGTAATTTTCATTAAAGAATAATCTGCTTGTAGAGTTTTATTGATTTGCGTTTTCATTTTTTGAAAGAGATATGGAGGTTATAAAAGTCGCTGGGGAAACGTTTTGGTCAACTCGTATTTGGTTACCTCCTAATACGACTTGGGAGGACATCGCTCCAGGTTCACGACCGGATGTGACGCACGCCGATTACAGGGATCTCACATGGCCCATACCAATGGCAGTAGTTATTATGTTACTTCGATATGCTATTGAAAGGTATATTTGTGTTATATATTGATTATTTTCTTTTAATATGATCAATTCTGCTTTGTATCCCACAATAATGCCGGCATCTCGCTTGATTATTCGGAACAAAAATCAGTTAAAACTGAGTTAGGGTAGGTCAGTAAAGGTTATAATCTTAAATAACAGGGAATTCTACACGTGAAAAATTTATATCTCAGAGATTATAGTTGTCAAACTTATTTATGTGTAAAGTACTTTAAAAGTTGGTCTGCATTTCTAAAAGTATTAACACGTTTTAGTGTGTAATGGCCAGTGGCCACTCCCTTTTCGTTGCTGAGTATAAAATTTTCAATATTGAAGACGTGAATTTTGGAAAAATTTTAGAATACCATCCCACGATTTTACGGTTAAAAGGGTTACGGTTGTCTAGAGGAGATCCTCCAGATAAAAAATACAACACTTGTTATCTGTCAACATGGTACCCATTTGTTATTGTGCATATAACGAAAATTGCGTAAAAATAAAATGCTTATTTAAAGCAAATAGAAACATTGTAGTGAAGTGTGAGTCTATAATAAGTGCAGAATATTAAATAAAAATTATCTGTAAATGGAGAAATTGTAAGTTAAAATTTGTGAAAATGGGTGGGCTTCAGATATTTGCATTTTAAGTTGAAAATTTCACAAATTTCATTTTACAATTTCTCGATGTATGGTTATCTTTTCTTTTATATTATGCATTTATTATACACTAACTTTTCACTTCAATGTTTCTCCATATTTATTTTATATTAAATATTTAAGTATTTGCTTTAAATAAGCATTTAATTTTTACACAATTTTTGTAATATGAACAATAACAAATGGGTTCCCTGTTGTCAGATAATAAGTGTTGCCATATCTATTATATATATATATATAAATATATATTTTGAAAGCGAATTAAAATGAACAATAAAAGAGGATTATACCCCAAATACATGAACTATAATTTTGTTCATTCCCTTCTATCGATAAATTATGGTATTGGATTGGCCAGGGTTATTTTTTTAAGGCGCGGCCGAAGGCCGCCAGTGCGGAAAGAAGTTTGACGCGATTAAATTATGAACACCCCGGTGTTGGACCGACCAGGGTTATTTTTGTGAAGCGCGGCCGAAGGCCGCCAGTGCAGAAAGAAGTTTGACGCGATTGAATTATGAACACCCCGGTGTTGGACCGACCTGGGTTATTTTTTTGAAGCGCGGCCGAAGGTGCAAAAAAAAGCAATGTTAAAGAGAATATATCACTCTCTATAAACTTCAATTTTTATTAAGGATAACAGTGAAGATTTTGAAAATTTGATATATGAATACATATGGCGTAAAAATATAGTAAATCAGCATCATGATCCATTTGTGAAATTATCAGATGCAATAAAACATACGTTTAAGCCTTAAAACCTTTTTCTTTTATTAAAATGGAAAATTAAGTTCATAATATTTTGTAGAGGGTGATTGGGTTTTTTTATTTATTTTGAACCCATTTGTTATTGTTCATATTACGAAAATAGTGTAAAAATTAAATGCTTATTAAAAGCAAATACTTAAGTATTTAATATAAAATAAATATGTAGAAACATTGTAGTGAAGTGTTAGTGTGTAATAAGTGCATAATATAAAAGAAAAGATAACCATAAACCGAGAAATTGTAAAATGAAATTTGTGAAATTTTCTACTTAATATGCAAATATCTCGAAAACTATAAGTTTACAGCGGCAATAATTATATATATTCGAGATCTTAAGAATCTTCTCTATCCAACCATACCCCTCTTAACCCTGAAATCGTGGTATGCTAAATAATTATTATAAATCGAAAAAACACGCACTTTAAATATTTACATTTTTTAAATTCAAATGCAAATATCTCAAAACCCTAAGACAGCGGCAAGACACCCCCATATCATTGCTTCTTCACATTCGTTCTTAACTGTATGCATCAAGTTACCGAGTGCCGTATCCGTTTTTATACTCTCGCAACCTGTTGCTACAGAGTATAATAGTTTTGTTCACCTAACGGTTGTTTGTATCACCTAAAACTAATCGAGTTAGATATAGGGTTATAT